CACCCCAGGGGCAGTGTGCTCACACCTCTTTAGACACCCTGTGTCTCTGTGCACTGTCTTCACTCCCACGGCCGGGAGGCAGCACACTTCACAGGGGCCTCTGCTCAGGAATAGGCTCCGATACAGAGCTCTTTGTGACAGGATGCCTCTCTGCGATGCCCATGGCTCCCAGTCTCCCAGTCTCTGGGCCCAGCATGACCCAGCACAGCACAGCTGCCAGGAGGCTAGATGACCTCGTAGCTCGGCGGTTCTCAGAAGCCGGAAGCCTGAAGAGGCAGGTGCAGAGGCAGGTGATACAGGCACCAGCAGGATGCTCCCTGTGCCAGGGTCATGCCTTCAGATGGAGGAGGCAGCGAGCTCCGTGTGGATCCTGAGCTGGCTGGCTTCTGACGGATTAATGCTGCGGAGGTGGCAGGAGGGAGGGGACGCCTGGTTTCCTGGACTGCGCATGTCCCACACAGGTACGCTGAATATCTGTCACTCCACTATTGCATCGTGAAGCTCACTCGCTGCCATCAAGGTGATTCCGACTCACAGCAACCCTATAGGACAGTGCAGAACTGCCTCAATGGGTTCTGGAGACTAACTCTTTATAGGAATAGAAGGTCTCATTTTTTCTCTTGGGGGCAGGGGGGTGGGCTGGTGGTTTCAAACTGCTGACCTTGTGGTTAACAGCCCAACTCAACCACTACACCACCAATGCTCCCCACAGCCCTCAAAACCAAACCAAACTCACACCGAGCCTATTGTGACTCATAGTGACTATAGGATGGAAAAACTGCCCCTGTGGATTTCTGGGGCTATAACTCTGGGAGTAGGAGGCCTCATCTCCTGTGGAGCGGATGGTGGATTCAAACGGTTGACCTCGCTGTTAGCAGCCCACCACACTATACTGTCATCCACACCTCCACCAGTGCTGCTGCGCCTCAAAGCAGAGAACCGGACAGGGGAGTTTAGTCTGAGGCCCTGATACAGCCAGTTCTCCACTCTCATTCATAGGTGGGCCCGTGTGCTGGCTTCTGCACCACGCCTTGGGTCCAAATTTCTGATGTCACCCTCTTGTCTATTCCTCTTCCTGCAGGTGTCCCACCCCACGCTGCTGGGTGATGTCGTCGCTCTCTGAGTATGCCCTGCGCATGAGCCGGCTGAGCGCCCGGCTCTTCAGTGAGACTGCCAGGCCCACCGACTCCAAGTCCATGAAGGTGGTGAAGCTATTCAGCGAGCAGCCGCTGGCCCGGAGGAAGGAGACCTATGACTGGTACCCGAACCACAACACGTACTTTGCGCTTATGGGCATTCTGCGCCACATGGGCCTCTACAGGTGAGCCGGTGCCCTGCGGAGAGTCGATGCCGACTCAGCGACCAGGAGGGCAGAGTGGAACTGCCCCTGTGGGTTTCCGAGGGAGCTACAGCCTCCTCTTTCTCCTGAGGAGCAGCTGGCAGGTTTGAACCGCCAGCCTTGCTGTTGACAGCCCAACACCTACCCGACCAGTAGATTGCAACGGGAAACCAGCCTTCCTATCTAGGTCATGCATGACACACACACCAGGTCGCTCAGAGGGTGGTTTTTGGAGCGAGAGGCCGCTGCTGTCCAAGGAGCCCTGTTGGCACAGGGGGTTAGACGCTGGTCTGCTGGCCA